TCTTATCTTCACCATGAATGTAAACAACTGACACATCCCTAAAGAAATCACATCCCTATGTGACCTATTCTAGGTGACCCTGCTCTGGCAAGGGGACTGAACTAGATGATCTTCAGAGGTCCCTTCCAACCCCGATTGTTCTGTGATTCTGTGAAATGCTTTAGCCCTCAGTCAGCCTGTGTTTTTGCGGGCTGCAGCAAAGGGAGGTGTCCACGCATGAGGGTGGGGGCTAGGGGTGTGCATCCCTGCACCCCTGCACTCTGCACCCTCCAGCGTCTTCCCCTTCTCCCGCAGGACCTGATGCAGAGAAAGCAGGGGCAGGAAGAAGGGGACACGGCACCCTGGTGTCTCTCTAGTACAATTTGTTCTCATGGGTTTGGTGCACGTTATTTCCAGGTTATGCCTGGCTAAGAAGGCAATATAAGGTGCATTGCAAAGGTAACTCCTCCTGTATGATTAGAGATGGATACGAACAGGGGGACCTTGTTAGCCTGAACTTCTTCTCTGTACAGTCAGTTTAGAGAACAGTCTTACCGTGCTGGGAACCAAATTAACAGTAAGATTCCTAAGTCTCTAGCCCCAAAGCCTGGGGATTGACTAAAAAAAAGTTTTTTCTTTTCTTTCTCCTTTTTTTCCTTTTTCTTTTTCTTTTTCTTTTTCTTTTTCTTTTTCTTTTTCTTTTTCTTTTTCTTTTTCTTTTTCTTTTTCTTTTTTTTCTTCTTTTTTTTCTTCTTTTTCTTTTTCTTTTTCTTCTTCTTCTTCTTCTTCTTCTTCTTTTTTTTCTTTTTCTTTTTCTTTTTCTTTTTTTTCTTCTTTTTCTTTTTCTTTTTCTTCTTCTTCTTCTTCTTCTTCTTCTTTTTCTTTTTCTTTTTCTTTTTCTTTTTTTTCTTTTTTTTCTTTTTCTTCTTCTTCTTCTCTTTTTCTTTTTCTTTTTTTCTTCTTTTTCTTTTTCTTCTTCTTCTTCTTCTTCTTCTTCTTTTTCTTTTTCTTTTTTTCTTCTTTTTCTTTTTTCTTTTTTCTTTTTCTTTTTATTTTTTTCTTTTTTCAGTATTTTTGTATTTTTCTTTTTCTTCTTTTCCTTTCTTTACCTTTTTTCCTTTCTTTTCTCCTTTTTTGTTTTTCTTTTAACAATCCTCTATTCCCATTTCCTTATGCAAAACTGCCTAGCCTACAAAATCAACACCTCACTCCTCCAAACAATCACAATACAAGTGTCTCTCCTTCCCCTGCTGCAACTGCTCCTCTGGGTGGCAGGCCAGGGAAGCCAGCCAGGACACCACAATTCCCCAGAGGAGCTGGCTGGCCCTTCTATAATCAAGAGGGCACGTTAATTACAATCCTTGCCCAGAAAAAGATGCATGAGAACTGCCAGTCAGAGAACCCTGGTGCATCCAAAGCCACGAGCAACATTTTCCTCCCTTCTAGAAAGGGACCAAGGTTTAAGCCCTCACTAAAGCTTGTCATGAACCTAAATAAGACTTCAAAGGGAAGGCGAGAAGCGACAGCAGTCCCTCCTGACCCAGGGAGGAGACAGGGCAGATACATTACCCCAGAGACGCGGAACACAGTCCAGGGGAGGCACGGGGGATTACTCAGTCTCCCTTTCACCCTCCGACTCCTCCCCTCCTCCTCTTTTGCTGGGGGGGTCCTATAGAAAACCCATTGGAACAGGAGGTGGGAAGTGAACAACGTCGCCCTAAAGCTCTCCAACATTAGATTCTAATTGCAGGGGTACACATATATGTGTCACATATATGAGCTCTGTGCTGCATTATTGCAACTGCAGCTATACTGAAGCAAGCCTCTCACTAAAATAAAGTGGAGATTGCAACAACAATGCCCCTATTCCCAATTATATCCTTACCTTGACAGATCACTGTTAACCCCGGAGTTCATTAAAACACTAGTCCTTCAGGCTTTGCTCATTTTCAGTGATTTTCAGAACGGGAAATATATGTCTGCAGTGAATATGCCCATAGCTCACTTTGCAAACTCCTACAAACCGCTCTCACTCTGCAGCAGCGCATATTCTTGGTCCCTCAGTCCTGCTGTACTCTGCAGCAAATCCCATCCCTCCACGTCCTCCCCTGGATTCCATACAAATGGGTCGGGAGCTGTGTCTGTCTCAGCTGGGCTAGTCTGTCTGTCAGGTGGGTAGCTGGGGAGCACAAGGTGGTGCTAAGCTCTGCACAGCCCTCGAAAATGGGCAGCAGGAGGATCTGCTCTGCAGGCTGCAGGACAGGGGTGCTCTTTGAGTGCGTGACAAGCACATGAGAAGTAAGACATATGTAAGGTACAGGAGTGGTTTCTTATGTATTTCCAGATTTCCTGCAAGCATTCATGATTAAGCAAGTAATAAACTATGATGCAAAGAGGAATCAGCCATATGAAATGGCACAGAGGTTGTTTGCACTGCTACTGTGTCAGGTGCTGTGCTCTGCAACGACTCATGGTCAAGCCCTAAAGGCAGGTGCTGTGAGCAGTCCCACCCACTGGAGTCAGAAGAACAAAAAGTGAGCAAAACTCTGCAAGAATTAGCCAAACTAGAGCCCGTGTGCTTTCAGACTGCACTCCATCCAGAGCAGAGTCATTTAAAAAAGGTTGTTAGCACATCTAACATTCTTGACTTTGGTGTTTGGGTGCCTTCAAAATACAGCAATAAAAAAAGAGCACCTGGAGAGCAAACATTGAAACCAATATTCCTGTATTCATTGCATAAATTCTCATGCTCGAAAATGTTCACGGTCAAAATGAATTGTAAATGTCAATGAAATAAATGACTGGTTTGTGCTTGCATTAATTTTTCCAAATTCATTTGGTATTGCCCAGCCCTTTTCAGTCGGAATTGTGGGGGCAGGGGGGAAGAAAAAAGAAACAATTGTCATGGAGCACAACCAATGATAGAGCCAGATTAATCTTTTCTGAAAAAAAAACCCCGTGATCCTGTCATCTCCAAGCCTCTGCAACAATAGTTAAATGCCATTTTTGGCAACTTTTTCCTGAAAAGTGCTGCTGCCTTCTTTCTTGACAGACACCTCAGAGCATTTTTGGTTTAATCGGTCATAAAAATTCTGGAGTCCTTCCCTTGCCATTTACAGCTTGTCTGGACTCAGGTTAATCGAAGGCTGAGGGCGAAATGCTCAGGAGTACGTCTGGCTGAAAGAATCAAGGCAAGTCACCTCTTGCCATTTGCCAAGCTCTGGACTGGGATGCTCTTCACTCATTGCTCCATGTCAGCTTTTCACAGTATTTACTCACACTGCTTTATCATAAGCTCTTACTATTAGGATTCCTATTCTTTTCCAGGAATGGAGTTATTGTCAAGCTGAACCCTAGGAGAAGCAAGTTTGTGTTATTCATAACTCCATTTCTGACACTTAGTGAATGTTAAGTGAGAGTGTCAGAAGGTAAAAATGTCTCACCACAGCACAGAAGTCCATTTTCTACTACTTCTCCTCGTGTCAGAGGGGTAATGTTAGGACCCTCCTCTTACATGTATTGAATGTCGTCAGCATTCAAAGATATTAAGGAAAAACAGAAGAAAAACCAACCCCAAATCAAACGTGATATTGCTTTGTATGTTGGGATCAGATGTTTTCCCAGTAAAAAGTTAAGTATAGGGCGAAATTACCATTTCTGCACTGTTTCGTTAATTATTCATCACCTTGTAATAACATTGTAATTTACCAGGGCAACAGCAATGCTAAATGCTACAGTTCCCTTTCCTATCAGCTTCATGAAGAAACATCTATTACTGTGGAGCAGCCTGCTTAATTTAACCAATTTTACAGACACACCACACACCAAAAAGCAGCACTGCAATAATCTTGCATTTTCTTATATTTATCACCAGATTTTTTACTCACTAAAAAAATATTTTCAACTGCTAGTATTTCTATTTATCTTTAATGCAAAGTAATAAAATAACTCACTTCATCCACATGACAGGTATTTTGCCTATTTCATCCTGAAGTTTCCAGTCTGCTGCTTTTCTCTTATTTAGCTTTAATTTTTCATAAAAGCACACAAGGTGAAAGAAGGAGATAGCTTTAATGCAGCTTTCCTATCATTAAATAGATATGTTACTCCCCCCTTCAAAAAAACCAATTATTAAAGTGACAAAATGACAGCAACAAGTAGACAAGTATTAGAGGCAACTCAGACCTATTGTCCATGAGGTGCCTTTCCTTCTGGTGTTCCCTTTAAAGGCTGTTGTGTTGAGGGCGAGACATTCTTCACAGGTTTCCCTCCTCTCCCTGCTTTAAAAGGGTTCTACTTTCACCAGAAAATGTTTTTTTGTAAAAAAAAAAAAAATTAAAAACCCCAACAAAAAAAAAAACACAACCAAACAACCGTTATATATCCAATGCAAGTGTTGTGCCAAAAATCTGAGAAGTGCCACCTTGGTTTTCATCTTTCTGGGGTTTGAGCAGTTGTGCACAGAACAGCTGCGTCTCTGTAAGCCCAGGACAGGTGTTCCTGGCCAAACATTTGCCACATAAAACTGCAAAGCTGAAAAATCTGACCAGTTCCTTGATAGTCCGACAATGTTTGTGAGTTCCAGTTTCCTCTCCTTTTACTTTTTGATAATGCAGAGTAAAAATCCAGTTCAAAACTGGTATCTTTCCTGTATTTGCATTCAAGAAATAATTTTCACTGCCATAAAAAAAATATTCACACCACTAAAAAAAACCAACCAGCCCATGATTTCCTCTGCCGCTTGTGTGAAGGCCAGTGGTTTTGTGTCATTATCCATGACGTTATTTGACTCTTTCAGAGTAGTCTGGCTGCAGTTCTGGGTGTGGGGTCTGCTTAAATAGAAGTTCAATGTCTTTGGCTCTCCTCTTGCAACAGAAGGGTTTTCCTCTTCGAAAGAAGCCTAAAGTACCATCCTTGCAATGCCAGGTCCTTTTAAGTCCCGTTGTCTTTCCCCGAGCCGCAGGGCCACGATGGGCTTGGAAAAGGGCAAGGGGGGATCTGAGAGTCTTTGAGTCAGCACATCAGCTCAGAAGGGATCCACCACAGAAGGAGTAACGGCGAGCTGCAAACCAAGATCAGAAGCTGTTACAAACTGACCCGATCTCAGCTCTGAATGCCACCAGTCTAACAGGCAGAGATCTACAGGGGACAGCCAGGGGAAGAAGAGTGAAGGACAGCTCTAAAACCAGTATAGATCCTTGCTTTTATCCTGAGGCTGCAAACCTGAGAATGGAGAGAAGAAAAAAAGGGAAGAAGAAAAATAGGTATAGGCATTTAAAGGACAGAGAAAGACAAACTGCATTTCTGCCAGCTGGGATCAGAGAATCAGCCTAAAGCATGGGCTCCCCAGAGCCTCAGGAGGCTGTGAAGTGATAAGAGCCCAGGCTAGAGTGGAGACACACACATGCCCCCTGCCTGAAGTGAGGCCACTATAAGGAGACATATTATTGGTGATAACCCAACTTTGACATGGAGAACTGTCACCAGAGTGGGCTCTCCTTGCCTCCACAACCACTGGCTCAAGAGCTGCCACTGCTGGCTATGTCCTGTGTCACCTTTTTGTCACCTCTATGGGCATGCAGCCTTACTTTCAGGCACCTCATCAGGCACAGGGTACCACAGGGGAAAACTGTTGCCCTTTTTGCTCAGTAAATGCAATTGTGCTTTCCTCTCAAAAAAGAGGAAAAAAGAACAAATAAGGATAGGAGGTAGCTCATGAACCTGCACAGGGTTTAGAAATGACCTGTTCTGCTGTGGCTGCCCGCACTCCTGTCCCCAGGGCAATCTGTGGAGAGAGCCAAGCAGTGACCCTTGTGGCAGCTCTGTCTTGCTCCCCGCTTTCACTGCTCAAGATAAGAGCAGGGCTAGGGCCGGGGCCAGGACAAGAGTACCCCAAAGTAACCTGTACCCTCAGGGCATGTTTACTAGTGCCAGAAATTCAATCGTGTCAGGGGTGGAAAGATGGGTTGCCCTGTTCCCATCCTCCCTCTCCCTCTCCTCACTTGCATGGCCTGAGAGCCCCAAGAAGGGCACCCAGAACAGAACTCGGGTGTTTCCCATGACGCTTCCATCCCTGGTTTATAGCCCCACGGCAGCACCCCAGCCACATCGCCATTGAGGCTGTCCTCCCCTACTACTACAGATGGTATGGAAGAAGGGGGCAGGGATGCAGCTGAGCCAAGGGACCTTGAGAGACCGAGGGCAGCCCTTTACCTGTGTCCACATTGAGGCCGAGGCTCTGTGCCACATCCCCTGCTGCATTGGGGAAGGGTCCTGCTGTTGTCCAGGCTGCAGTGGCACCTGCCTCACTCTTGCCCAGTTCACAGGGGGGGCTGACCGGTGTTGGCACGGAGGCCGGAGTGAGGCGGTGGGGTCGGACGGAGGCGGTGGGCACCAGGAGTGAGCCGTAGCGGGGGTCAAAGTGGGGTCCGTAGACCTCGTGCATGGCGGCGGGGCGGGGATAGGCAGTGCTCTGTGTCCCAATGTAGGGGTGGTGGTGATGGTGGTGATGGTGGTGGGCATGGTGCCAGGGCTCGGGGCCACCCTGATGCAGGTGACCATGCAGAGAGGTGGGTGCGTAGGGGTCGGCAGCGGCGGCGGCGAAGGGCAGCTCACTGTGGGCAGCAGCTGCCAGGGGGCTGCTCAGGGTGGCTGGGACTGAGGAGGGCTGGTATGTGCTGTTCCAGAAGGATGGTGGGAAGCTGCGCTGGCTCATCGGAAAGGAGCCATCTGGGTGAAGAGAGAGGGAGAGAAAGGCAGCAATGAGCACACCCAGTAAGCCCTGACCATCTTTCCCCCAGGCTTTGTCCCTTCCCAGACCCTCCTCAACCAGCCCTCTCATTCCTCTTATCCCCCAAACAACTGCCAAACACAAGAAATTGCTCCCATCCTTCCCAGCTCAACATCCAACACATCTAGCCCAGGGCTTTGCTGATTTCTCTTTGCTCCAGGTTTCTCTTAGTATATATTTATGGAAAAGGCTGTTACCAAAGGTGAGGGAATGATCTCTTTTTCTCAGTAGTGGAAACTGAGTCAGAGCTACTATGCACAGCAGCAATTTCCAGGCTTGGATTTTTCTTGTTTGTGTTTGTAGTAATCTCCCTGTCTATGCCTTTATGCCCAACAGCTCAGAGGATACACGACCCTGCCAGGACAGCAGCTGCTGTCTCAGTGCAGTTACAAAGTGGGCAGTAACAGTACAGGATGCAACTAAGGGCCAACTTGAGTTCACTAAACATCTGAGGGCAATTCTCCATCTACTACACTCGACTTATGTGTGTTCCATGGGTATATTTAGGAAGCGCTCTGCAGATCTTCATAGATTACCAGGGCAAAGGACAAGGACTCTACCTTTTCTTTGCCCCGTAAGCATCACACAAGATGGACCAGTGATTATTAGTATCATAGACAGACATTAAGCATTATGAATTTGGAATGCACAGTGTTCCCAAGACAAATAAAAAAGTGTTCCTGATACGTGTTTTCCAGGGATATATGCCAGCTCTGTGCCCTGGCATTACTCAGGAGAAAGGGAAACAGTTCATGACAGCAAAGAACTCTCCTGCCATCAATTCCAGTGCTGAATAACTTTCACCCGCAAAATATTTAAACTACTATTTCATTCTTAGAAACAACTGACAGCAATTCATGAGGGGGCTGGGAGACTGCCTCAGAGCTGGGCAAGCAACCCTGAGCGAGACAATCCCCAAAACCAATCGAAAAGTAGTTTCTGCCCTAACTTGCTGGTGAGTGTAGGCTGGGGAATGCTATTCCCCTCTGCATTGGGTACCCCCATGGGCCCATCCAGGGTGAATCCTGCATGGCTATGGAGAGCTATGCATCAGCCGTGGCCTCGGTCTTGCTGGCAGGTCTGAAAGCTCCCATTTTCAAAAATTTAGGGTCCTCATCTCTGCTCCAGCAGCAACCAAGGTGGTAATACGTGTAGGGTGAGACACAGGGACACGCACAACCTGTCTTTTAGTGGTGGAAAGCTGGTGAGATGGTTCCCACGTTCTCTTTTTGCTTTGTTCCCACCTTCGGTTGCCGCGGGCAGGCTCAGCAGGGGATGCGCTTGCCACAGCTACGGTGCGGCGGCGCTGAGGGGATGCTCCCCGCTCCCGGGACCCACCGCGGGGTCCC